AACCCAGACTGGGTGTAGTCTCTGGACTCGTGGACTTTCTTGGTGCCCGTTTTGGGGCGCTCGCTGTGGTTTTCTGCCTTCGGGCACCTCTCTGCTTTGCCGTGGTGGCTCCCGTGGAGCGGGAAGTAAAATGTCCCCTTGAGTTTGTTCATCTTTTTGGATCTCTTGGAGATCTCGGGCTGTTTGTCTTCGGGAGGAAGCCAGCAAGGCTTCTCCTTGAGCAGCCTGTCTCGGTCCGGCCGGACGCTCCTCAGGAACTTCTTGAAGATGTTGGCCGTGAGGGAGAACTTCCTGCAGAGCTCCTGGGACCTGCTCACGGACAGGGACGCCTCGCTCTTCTCCCCCTTCTTCTCCAGCTCTGGCAGGTCCAACCAGTTCCCAACCAAGTCTGCAAAGATGTTGTCCCCCAGCACCAGCGGCTGCCGGTTCCTGCTCTGGGACATCAGGGAGGATGTCCAGTCGTGGCCGTCGTCACAGCCCGGGCACTCCCGGCATTCCGGCCACCCCCCGGCCGTGCCCTGGATGCTGCACTCCAGAGCCCTGGGGCGGACGTGCTCGGCTCTGCTGGACACACAGGCAGGTCCTGTTGGGGCATAAACACCCTCCCCACAGAGGCTGCTGGAGGAGGAGGGGGTGTCCCCGAGGTGGTCGCTCTCCAGGAGCGCGGTGGGACGGGCCAGCCCCGCTGGATGTGGGAAGGACGTGGGGCTGTGCCCCTCCACTGACGGCTCGTCCTGCCAGGCCCTGGGAACGTCCCCCCGGCTCCGGCAGCACCGGTGCTGCTCCACCCCACAGCCGGGGCTGCGGCTCCCGGAGATGTCCAACTGCTCCAGAGCCGTCTGGACCTGGAGCAGCTTCAGCTCCTGCAGGGCCCCCATCATGCAGTTCATCTGCTCGTGCAGCCCGTCCCCGACCTCCTTCATGGAGAGCTGTGGAGGGAAGGAAGCACACGTTGGATCAGCAGCCCCAGGAGCCAGGAGAGAGCAAGAACATTTGGAGCAGCTTTCTGAACCACCACCTCTTCCTACTGCCTGCATTTTCCACGCACTGCCCTGTACTACATCCATTCCACTGGATTTTCCTTAGATTTTTCTAGGAGTTTCCCTCTAGGAATCAGAGGAGCTGACAGAAGCGGGTTGTTTGACCTGACAACAAAAATAAATAGTCTGAGTTCCCATTAATGGCTTGGCAGAAACCCAAGGTGTGGAACTATGAATGGGTTTTGGTTGCTGCCAGTTTTAGCATATTCTTCTGCTTTTGTGCCTTTTGTGCCCTGGCACCAACTGAAACCAGGAGCCAGAATAACGAACAGAGGTGCCTTCCATGGAAAACCTTGTTCCTTTACCTGAAGTGCTAAAGAAAACTAAAAATAAACCCCACACAACACATCTTCAGATCTGAACACCCTCCCTGCAGCCACCTCTCGCTAGAGGACAATCAAAGACATTTCACTGCACTGGAAATTTCGTACAAAACAACCAACAAACTCTAAAATTACTTACAATCAACTAGGAGTTCTTTGATTCCCAGGCTAGGACCTTTAGCAGCAGTTCTGCTTTATCCATGAACCTCACCACAAAAGATTGAACTTTCTGCACTAGACTTAAAATAAGCAAGTTATTCTCCAGAGCTTCTCAACTCCCCCCTCTTCTCTTTCGCTCTGCTGCTTTCTCTCTCTCCTGGAGGATCTGGATCATATTCCCAAAGCGGCACCATAAAACAAATGGGCTCTACTTTCCAACAGCTGCCACTTATTTTTTTTTTTTTGTTTTCCAGCAGGGAGGGGGGACTGGGGACTGGGCAGGAGAAGGGAGGAACAGCAGGGCACAGCAGGGCTGGAGGTGAGGCCGTGTCACACCGATGGAAGGTGGTTTGCACGAGAGATTACCACTGTCTAGGAAAGCTCCAGCCTACGCTGCCACAAACAGTTTAAACGGCTCAGCACCATTTTTGTGCAGCAACAGATCTCAAGATCAGGGTGGGAAAAGCCCAGGTTTTTTAATTCTTACGCCCAGCTTTACATTCTCACACTTTATTTTCTACGACTCCTTCATTTTAACTAAGTTAGTTCAATCACTTGCTCCATTTCCATCTCTGCACGTGGATGTGAGCAGAGAGAAAGAGCAGCCATCAGAACCCCTGTAACAAGCCAGCTCTGTAACTGCTCAGCAGTTCCTGACCACAAATCTCCATTTCAAACCCCAGAACCTAAAGCTAAACAGGTTACAATGATTTTTCAGAGCTTTGCTCTCAAGAAACTTATTTATCAGCCAGAACGAGCACACGGGCTACGAAAACACAGAAAATCTGTGTTTAGCTTCCTGCTTACACTGAGTGCCTCCAGCTCTCCCATTTTTTAAGATCAGCAAATAAACTACTTCTGCAGACATGCAAATAATGTCCCACTTCCAGCCTGACTGCACCCTGGCTCCCCACACCAAGCTGGGGCCATGTGCTCTACCAGCCTCCGACAAAACTATCACCTTACCTCTCCAGCTTGGCTGCAGTGCTGCTCGTCCTAACCTTTCTTGCCTTATTAATGGAAGCCTGTTTTATCTGGGGCTTTGCAAAAAGCTGGATTTGGAGCCGGCTTGGCCCCTCATTGGCCACTTCCCACCAAATCCCCTGGCTGGTTGCAGGGCTGTAATCACTCCGTGGGGAGTGACGAGGGTCCTGCCGTAATGACTGGGCTGATCAAACCCCCTGGCATCTGCTGGGCGGCTCTTGTTCACCTCATTGATTCGATTAACTCCCCCCCTGTGATGGGTGGGATCCTCACAATTCCTCAGCCAGGCTTTAGGAAGCATTAAAATTTCATAGGCGGCGTTTGGATAAGCGACGGTCGCTGTGACTGCTCTGCTGTGATTGCTCTTTGCAGGCAGATCCAGTCGCCCCCGACAAGAAAAGACCTGAAAAGCCCAGAATCCAGCACTTTTCTTCCTGAACAAAGGAGGTGGATCTGCCAAACCTGGTGCCAGCACCAGCCTGGGGAGCCTGAGCTGCTGGAAAAGGACTGGAGATGTTTTCAGCCGTGAAAAGCCTTTCCTGGAAGTGACTGAGATTTGGACACTTCCCCCCCTGATGCCCAGGCTGAGCTGCCCCCTCAGAGCAGGGGAGGGAGGAAAAGGGGGTTTTCAGGATGTGACTCATTTGTCCTGTTTCAGTGACCTGCTTTGGGTGGGATGAATCCTGCCCTCCAGCCTCGGGGTCCCTCTGGCAACGTGAATCCCCCCACCAGCAAGAGTTTTTAAGCATCCCAAGGCTTTTAGCTCTGCTTGGTGAAATTTTGGGTTGTGCAAGATAAAAAAACGAAGCAAACCAATCCCCCTCTGCTTTATCTGGTATCTGCTCAGTCTTTTACAGACCTGGAGAGTGAGGGAAACCCAGCCCAAAGTGAAGTCACTGCCTGGTGATGACCAAACAGCCTGCAGGGCTTGGATTCCATCCACCTGTAATTATCCTGGGGTAATTAAGAGTATTCACCTTGCAAAGAAAATTCTGGAGGGAAAAAAAACCTTCTTCCCCAGTGTCTAACTGCCACCCTCTCCTCTTTGCCAAGAAGATCTCAGTGAGAACTGAGAACCAAGACCAGAGTGGCTTCCCTGAAGCTCTCCAGCAAAGGAATAATGTCCCAGAGAACAGGGACCATCACCCTGGCACAGGGTCAGAACTGAACTATCTGGGCTGCAAAAGGAAAACAGGATTCTGCAAATAATTCAGCACAGTGGGCTGGAAATCAGAGGCACTGATGAAGGAGATGGGAGGTCCAGGCTGAAGGGACAAGCCTTGTAGCCTCACTGGCTCTTGGTCACACACTTCACGTAGAAGGAAGTGGAATTTGTGATGAACTGGAGCACAATTCCAAACGGAGCGTGAATGTGACACAAAACCCCAGAGAGCCTTAATTTGGCATGGAGAGAGCCCCTGACAGAACTTGCTGGGGTTATGCAAGTGCCATTATGTAAGCTGCCCACCACTGGCATCAGGAGATGTTCTGGCTTGTGCCTCTCTGTGAGCTGCAAATCCCAAACTTGTGCTTGGATCAGTTGGGCTGCAGAGTGCAGGGGCAGCAGCATTCCTGGCCAAATTTTGGGTCCAGCACAGATCCTGCTCATCAGCATCCTCCCTTCTTGTCCCTCCTGGTCTCTCCTCGAGGTGCACAAACTCATCAGCATTTCAAAGGATTCCTGGTGTCTAATTTGAGATGCTTTGTGCTTCAAAATAAGTGGTGGTTTGGCACCTCTGCTTCCAAGAAAAGCCCTGTTAGAACTATGATAACTTGCAGATATCCAAATCTATCTCTACAAACCAGTTAAAAATCAGATGCCTCAAGCTGGATCTCATTATTCCTGAAACTTTTGCAATCCCTGAAAGCTGGCAAGAAGAATTTTATGTCTAATTCTGCACAAGCCAACTCCTGTCTTTTAGAGCAAGACAAGTACACACAGGGCTGAGGGTGACGTGCGTGTTCCATTTCGGTGCCTGGGATTTGGTGTGTGATGGGAAAAGGTTCCTTTCTCCAGCAGAAAACCTGGATCTATCCTCCTGCAAAGGCAGCTCTGGCTAAATGTTTCCCCCAAAGCAAAGCTCTTTCAAACTACAGACACCCCAAGTACTGAAAACTGAAGTGCAAAATTCAAAATTCCACTCGCGAATGATCATCAAGGAATATTCAACACAAGGAGGGGGGCAAACAAAAAATTGTCAGAGTTCAAATATGGAGGTTTTTTGTTCCATTCCGAGCAGCCAAGGCACTAATTGCTTTGTAAGCCACCTTTTCAATTATGTCCTCAAAATACTTATTGCCAGAATGGGTTTACCCAGTTTGTAAGTCAGTGATCTCCCACCACTGATTAACACAGCAAATACCTGAGACCTGCAAATAAGGGAAATTTTTCCTTGTCACTTCCCACTTCCCAGGTAAATAAATAACTTTTTTAACCCACTTTGGGAACTGATGTTTTTTTTATTACCATCTACCTTCGCTGAGCTCTCAGAGTCCAGTTCCCATCAATCCCCTTGAGCCACAGCTGTCTGTATTCCCAGCCCATCCACCCATCTGCAGCTTTGTGATGCTGATGGGAGGAAAGGAAAATCCCAACAACCCCCCTCAGCCTTCAGCTGAGCACAGAGAGCTGGGAAGAAGAGCCCTGAGTGGTGTTTGTCACCACGAGGAGGAAGACAGATGTCCAGCTCTTGGGGAAAAGAGCTGCAAAGAGAGGAAGTTATTGCTAAGAGGACAGGAAAGAGCAAATGGCAAATAGTTCTTAATAATAGTTCTGATGGGCAGCAGAGCCAGCGACAAACAATTGGTATTTAAAGGGGGTGACATAATAGAGACCAAAATTATTTTAGAACTGCTGAGCTGACCATATTGTTTCTGTGTTTTCCTCTGGGTCACTAACTGGATTAATCTTCAACAAGCCTGCAGTTGTGGCTGGGCATAACCCCTGCTGCACAGCTCCCAGAGAGCTTCTCTCCAGCTCCACATCCCACCTTTCTTTCCCTTCTCTTGGTGTTCTTTTAGTCCTTGCACTTCGCCACAATAATTTCATGCCTCTTTTTTCCCTCTTGTCCTTCCAGAGTACTGTAGGTGTAAATGAGGATGTGAACTGTGAGCTCACAATATCTGAAAGAGGAAGGATGCTGAAACTGTACCAAACACTCCCCCCCACCAGAGTTTAAATAGATCCAAACCAGATGTTCCCCATGAAAGACGTGGTTCACAGCACTCCATTAACCACCTTCCTCACTCAATGGCCTTCCTTCCCACTGGGATGATATTGTTCTGGGCTTCCCAATAACACTTGCTACGTTTAAAGGCAAATTAGAAAAATCAATTCTCTACAAGCAGGAAATAAATGGACCAGAAAGAGCTCCAAGAGACTCCTTCAGATTTTTACTCACAGATAACAGAGATCAAAACCTCAATGGATGGACTGACCATTGAAGATGATGGTTAAAAGTGCTGGTTTTCACCCCAGGGCTGCTTCTCCGGGGATCTGGTCTTTAAATCCCTGAACACACGAAGCTGGGAGTCTAAAAAAAATCCATCATCACCTTCAGGAGTCTTCTCTGGAAATAACCAAGCAGACAAAGCCTGTGACTGCTTTTTCTCCCCAGTTCTATGTGGCAGGACATCTGCTGTCAAGTCACTCCCTTGCACCTTCCCTTAAGGAACACCAAGGAACGAGATCCTGTCATAACCACCCAAGTTTCTGATGGAACCTCCAGCAGTGGTGGATAAAGTCACCTTTAAAGGGGCCATTTTATCAGCAGAGACACAAATGGAGCTGCCTGTTCCCACCTGCTGGAGTTGGGACCCTGAGGTCTGTTATTTGTGCCTCACACACCTGCAAACCAGAGGAGCTGCCCCTTCAGAAGGAGCAGTAAATGAAAACACAGCAGATCCTCTCAGAGCGTGACACAGTTACCAGAATAGGGCCCAGTGTGAGAGAAAGAGTAAAAATAATTGGCTGTATTTCTCTCTCGGACCAAATGTTCTATTCCTGCAGGATATTCATAGCAAGAAACATTGTCTACCAGGACATAAATTAATGTAAGGAAGGAGTCAGACTCTATCAAACTCAGTAATTCGATGCATTTATGACAAATGTGCAGGGAGAACACTCAGAAGTTGAAGTCAGACTGGTTGTTTTAAATAGCTGCTTTAATACTTTTCATCCTAGAAAAAAAGCAACAGAAAAACCCAGAAATCTGCTGGATTCCTCTAGAAAAACAC